AGGCAAGTGAATAGAAGTGGGTCTTCAAGCGAGACTTAAAGACTGAGAGTGTGGGAGCCTGCCGGACACTCAGTGGCAACTCATTCCACAGTCGTGGACCTGCGACAGAGAAAGCCCTGTCACCTCTGAGCTTACGACGGGTTTCTGGGACTGAGAGAAGCATCTGGTCTGCTGACCTCAGAGAGCGCGGTGGGACATATGGCTGCAGAAGATCAGTGAGATAGGATGGGGCGGAACTGTTCAGTGATTTAAAAACATACATGAGAATTTTGAAATGGATCCGAAGGTGAATGGGTAGCCAGTGCAGGGAGGCCAAAACTGGCGTGATGTGCTCTCTATAGCCTGTACCAGTTAAAAATCGGGCTGCAGCATTTTGGACCAGTTGTAGACGAGCAATGGAGGACTGACTGATTCCAAACAGAAGTGAATTGCAGTAATCAAGCCTAGATGTTATAAAGGCGTGGATCAGTCTCAAGGTTCTTTTTGGAGAGTATAGGCTTCAGCTTAGACAGCCGTCTCAGCTGAAAAAAACAGGATTTGACCATCATGTTTACGTGACTGTTGAGTTTTAAGGACGGGTCCATTATCACCCCCAGATTAGTGACCTTTTGTTTCTCTAGCGGGGCTAGAGAGAAAAGGTCAATGTCATGGTTCATGAGTGAGCCACTGGGATGGAACAGCATGACCTCAGACTTCTTCTCATTGAAGCTTAAGAAGTTTAAAGCCATCCAGTCCCAGATGTCAGCCAGGCAGTCAAAAAGAGGCTGAATAGAGCGTGTGCCTCTGTGCCTCAGGGGGAAGTAAATTTGGCAATCATCGGCGTAGAAATGAAAGGGTATGTCGTGTTTGCGGAAGATAGCACCTAGTGGCAGCAGGTATAAAGAAAAGAGAAGGGGACCGAGGATGGACCCCTGCGGTACCCCCCACTGGAGCGCTGTCGATGCCGAACTAAAATCTTTGATATTGACACAGAAGGTTCTGTCAGAGAGGTAGGACCCAAACCATTTAAGGGCTGACCCTGTGATGCCCACCCACTGCTCCAGTCTAGAAATGAGGATCTTGTGGTTGATGGTGTCAAAAGCAGATGTAAGGTCCAATAGGACAAGCAGCACAGAATCATCTGCGTCTGTGGATATGAAAATGTCGTTAAAAACCTTCAGTAGAGCAGTTTCAGTGCTATGGAGAGATTTGAAGCCAGATTGGAATAACTCAAGGATAGCGTGATCCCCCAAAAACTGTTTCAACTGAGACTCCACAATTTTTTCCAGTAGTTTAGAGGTGAATGGGAGTCTGGAGACAGGCCGGAAGTTGGACATGACTGAGGGGTCAAGGTTAGGTTTTTTCAGGAGGGGCTGGACAGCAGCATGTTTAAAAGTCTTTGGCACCACACCTGAGGATAAACTGCTATTCAGAATAGCGAGAATAAAAGGACCCAGGGTAGGAAAAACTTCCTTTAGCAGTCGAGGGGGGACCACATCAAAGGGGGAACCAGATGGCTTCATGCTGCACATTACCTGCTCCAGAGAGGACAGAGAGATGGGCTCAAAGTGGCCAAACACAGCCACGCACTGAGATGGGATGGACAGATCATGAGATGGCGGAGAAATGAGTGCCCGGGTGTTTGCCACTTTTTCTAAAAAGAAATGGAGGAAGTTTTCACACAGCTCAGTTGAGGCTTCCAGAGGTGAAGGCTCACTGAGGTGTAGAACTGAGCTCAGGGTGGAGAAAAGAACTCGGGGGTTGTGGGAGTTGGAGACAATTAAATCAGAGAAGAATTTACATTTGGCAGCTTTAACGGTTTTCTGATAGTGACGCCAACTCTCCCTTAACATTTGAAAAGAAACCTGCAGCCTGTCCTTCCTCCGCCTTCGTTCAGCTCTTCGACACTGCCGCCTAACGGCTCGCGTGACGTCATTCAGCCAAGGCTCTGATTTAAGTTTCGTTTTTCTGGTCTTAAGGGGAGCAACACGGTCCAGAACATCTAAACAGGCAGAGTTGAATTGAGAGGTTAGCTCCTCAGTGGTAAGAGACACCGAGAGCTGTTCGATCCTCTCAGAATTAAAACCTTCATTAAAACGAGCATCAGTGAAACGGTTAATAGAACGCGTACATGCAGGAACGCACGTCTTAGCAGTATGACAAGGGGGGGTGAAGTCAAACAATACAGGCATGTGATCTGAAAAAACATTGTCACCGATTTTCAAATTAAAAACAGAGACATTGCTTGTTAAAACGAGGTCCAGCGTGTGACCATGTTCCTGGGTGGGGCCGCTCACCTGCTGAGCTAAGCCAAAAGAGTCCAATAAATCTAGAAAGTCCTTCACTAAGGGCTTCTCCTGACAGCACACATGCAAATTAAAGTCACCAATAAGCAAAAAGTGAGTGTATCTCTGTGTGATATCAGCCAAAAAGTCAGAGAATTCATTTATGAAGTCCTTAGAACGAGGTGGGCGGTAGACGAGTGCGCACAGAACCGTAGGAGAGTGTCCGAGTTCAAAAACGCTCAGCTCAAAGCTGGCGCGGGACACTGGGATGGACAACTGTTTACAAGCCAAGTTTGCTTTAAAAACTGTTAATAATCCCCCCCGCGCCGACCTGATGGCCGCGGGGCATTGAAACACAGACAGTCCGGAGGTAGTAGTTCCGCCAAGGCGCTGGACTCACCATCAGAAATCCAAGATTCTGTGACGAACAGAAAATCCAACTCCTCATCATTTAAAAAGTCATTGAGGATAAATGTCTTGTTGGAAACAGACCTTGCGTTGATTAAACACATCCTGATGTGGTCCAACACAGGCACAGCCGTGGATGGAGACGCGCGCGTCAGCGGGCGCAGGTTATGAAGAACAGCTCCTCCTGGTCTACTGGTGCGGCGCACAGGTAAACAACTCCAGGTGTTTCCATGGACTGAGCGCGCGGGCAGCTGGCCAGCAGCCGGGCCCCGGGAGCACCACGGGTCAGAGAGGAGATGATCAGATCCAGAGCGAGTCCTGATAGAATAATCCACACTTTGCCTCAGTTTCACCAAAATCCCTGCACGCTTCCCACGACGTCTGCGACGTTTCCTCCATGGAGAAAGGCCAGGGTCACGCAGAAGGAACGCAGGAATCTCAGATAGGTCCGGTGGAGGAGAGTGCTGGCCGCTGTTCAAAAACTCTGCGGGAATTTCAGCAAATGTACGGAGCTCCAAAAGTGCCCGACGATCATACTGAAAATATGACTCGGCACACTGCACAAACCATTGTAAAAGTAACAAAAATAAAATACAAGCAGAGAGCGAGAGACGGGCAGCCCTACACACCGGCGCCATCTTGGAAAAAATGAGAGGCAGTCTTTTTAAACAAACTCGTCATGCACAATTTGACAGGCCTTGGACTTCTCTGCAGACAAAGTCCTGATCAATGACAAATAACCTTCAAACTTGTTTCTGCCTGGAGAAGCAAATTTAAAAGAATTTGATTGGATAACAATATTTTGATGAATACAAAAAGTCAACTGCAAATTAACAAAGTCCATGCTCAATAATCCAGGTATACACTCCAACAATTTTCAGTCATGTCATCTGGACAGTTTTTTTTTTTTTTGTGCTGAAACATTTCACCTTCCATGCAGAAGGCTTCATCAGTCAAGGAAACACACAACACAAAACAGATTCTTCCCCCAACAGCTGACTCCAAAGTGGCACAAACTAGTTATGTTGGTGCTAAGATGGTCTGTTTGGCATGACTGTCGACAATGGAGAGGGCCGGCACCAGAGGAGGGGGTGTGCCAAAGCAACCATCTTAGCACCAACATAACTGGTTTGTTCCATTTTGGAGTAACCTGTTGGGGGAAGAATCAGTTTTGATTTGTGTGTTTCCTTGACTGATGAAGCCTTCTGGATGGAAGGTGAAACATTTCAGCACAAAATAAAAAATAAAAAACTGTCCAGATGACTGACTGAAAATTGTTGGGTTCAACTGCAAAGTAGTTTATAGAAAATAAGAGAAAGTAAGCAAAAAAATAAGAGGACTACATTGAAAATATATCCATCCATCCATCCATCCATTTTCTTTACCCGTTTATTCCATTTTGGGTCACGGGGGTCGCTGGTGCCCATGTCCAGCAATCACTGTGCAAGGGGCGGGGTACACCCTGGACGGGTCGCAAGTCCATCACAGGGCCACATAGAGACAAACGAGACAAACAAACATTCACTCTCTCACTCACACCTAGGGACAATTTAGAGTTACTAATCAGCCTAACATGCATGTTTTTGGTCTGTGGGAGGAAACCGGAGTACCCGGAGAAAACCCACACATGCACGGAGAGAACATGCAAACTCCACCCAGAAAGGCCCCCGGACCGGGGTTTGAACCAAGGACCTGCTCGCTGAGAGGCAGCAGCTCTACCAGTTGCGCCACCGTGCTGCCTATTGAAAATATATATTTTATACAAAATAAAAATTTCAATGCAACATTTCATATGTGCATTATTCTTAGGCCTTCTCTGAAGGCGCAGAAGGCCGAGGGTTCCCCACCTCTAAAATGTTTTGATAGTTTGCAGGAATCATGTGAGCTGCAGAGGTTTGCAGTCATGTTAGTTGAATTATGAACAAGTACAAAAACATTGGTGTGACAAACATTTTCTAAAAATATACGGAGTTGTCTCTGGTGTCGTAAAACCTCAGGTTAGTGTTTGTAATTTTAGAGTGTAATCCAAGGTATAAGGCCTCTGTGTGTCACACAACAAACTGAAGAACAAATGCAAACATTAATGCTGTTCACCATGTAGTCGTCAACAGTCCCAGCCCAGAGAGATACTGGCTTTAAAACTTTTGTTTCTGTCTTTTAATAACATTGTCCTTTCTTGCAGTGATTGAAAAGCTGACATGATAAAATGCAGTGTTTATATAACCTGTGTTCGCAATCAATCCCTCCTAATTCAGACTCTTTGGACTGAAAATGTCATGTGCAGCTGAGCAAACAGACCCTTCACTCTGTGCCTTTTTTCATTCTCAGGAACGTCTCGCGGTCCCAGCCCTGTGACTCTGGCATCCCAAGATGCTTTGCCCATTGCTGTGGCCTTCACAGAATCGGTTAATGCTTACTTCAAAGGAGCTGATCCCGCTAAGTGAGTCTCACATGATCTGCTGCTGCTCAGAGGCCTCAGCATGGACCTGCGCACATGCACATTATTCTCCTGTATTTATAGTTCAATTACATTATCAGAGTTCTGCAGTTTATTGATTTTTACAGCATATTTTCTACCCAAACAGGGCCTCGGTCTTTACCTCCCTCTCTCTGTACATTAGTGGAATGTTTTGCTCGAGTCTTGACACCATTCTTTCAGGATGGATAACCCATGTAAGGCAGATTATAGTCTGAGGCAGAGAAAACATACAGTCTTTTATTGGTTAACTGCAGTTAAATTGCTGCTGTGCAAAAGGCTTATTTTTCCAGAGATTAGCAAATGGAACATTTCATAAGCAATGCAGCAGAGACTCGGTGCAAGGTTCAGACCCATTGTGGGCCAAGACCAGGGCCTCATCTGGTGATAGACTGACATTTCTTACAAGCTACATTACACCACAGACACATGCGGACATACAAAATATTACATACTGACTTAAAACTGGAGGTCAGTCTTATGGTTTACCTTCAGACCAAGCAAATTTAGAGAAGGGTTTAATCTTCTTGTTTCTTCGTTGATCAGTAGATGAAAAACACTTACTGACAAAAACAACAACAACAAAAAAAACAATCACCCAGACAGAGAGGTTGAAATTAAATGAAACTTCAGGAGTTGAAAGGTTATGTATCAATTTACATTCAATACAATATCAGATCAGATGAATAACAGAGTTGTCAGTATGCGTGATCAGCTGGTTCCAGGTCAGCAGGGTGTGGCCCCGTCAAGGTGTTCATAGACACATAGTTTGTGTGTTTACAGATGGGACCAGGGTTCTGTCTCAGGAGGGGTAGGACCAGCAACATTGATAACAATTGACTAAGCATCTCTGCTTCCTCCAGTTGTTCAAAACTGAAGTCAAAATGTCTGTTTTTATAGACGTCACCATATTGTATTTTTTGGATGCCTGCCCTCTCGAGACAGGGGACTGTACCATCGATACAACAGTCCCGCCTACACACCCTCCCAGATTGCTGTTAGTCTGTGACACTGGCAATCACAGTGTAACATGACCCTTGTCCTAAAGCCTCAAATAACTCGTTGAAACTTAACTTGTTTTTTAAAAGGAATATTTAACGGTGCCATCTTTATCAGGACTGTGGAACTTTCTGGCAGCGTTCACGGACAGTCTCACCGCCTTTGTCGGCCTCCCCCCCCTACAAAATGTCTTATGTCTATCTAAGCAATAAGGGCAGCGCTTCACAATGAAGCTGCAGCCTCCGTGCACGTCCGGCTACCCTTGTTGTAGCTGCACTGGAATATATTTTCATTGTGCTTAACTGTGCAATGACAATAAAGTTGATTCTGATTCTTGAGCATAAAACAGCAAAGTAAGAACTACTTGAATCAACAACATTGGTGTAACATCTGTACGTCCCCACATTTTGATGAAACATCTGTACATTCCCACATGTTGATGTAACATCTGTTCGTCCCCAAATGCCGGTGTAACATCTGTATGTCTCCACATGCTGGTGTAACATATGTACGACCCCACATGCTGATGGAACATCTGTACCTCCCCACGTGTTGGTGTAACATCTGTACGTCTCCACGTGCTGGTGTAACATTTGTACGTCCCCAAATGTTGGTATCACATCTGTACGTCCCCAAGATGCTGGTGTAACATCTGTACATCCCCACATAATAATGTAACAGCTGTACATCCCCACGTGTTGGTGTAACATCTGTACGTCCCCAACATGCTGCTGTGACTTTTTTACGTCCTCACATCTTAGTGTAACATCTCTAGATCCCCACATGCTGGTGTATCTTCTGTACATCCCCACATGCTGGTGTAACATCTGTACATCCCCAGATGCTGGTGTAACATCTGTACATCCCCACATGCTGGTGTGACATCTGTACGTCTCCACATGTTTGTGTAACATCTGTACGTCTCCACATGTTGGTGTAACATCTGTACATCCCTACATGCTGATGTAACATCTGTACGTCCCCACTTGCTGGTGTAACATCTTTACGTTCCCACATGCTGGTGTAACATCTGTATGTTCCCACATGTCGATGTAAAATCTGAACTTCCCCACATGCTGGTGTTACATCTGTACGTTCCCACATGCTGGTGTAACATCTGTACGTTCCCACATGTTGGCGTAATATCTGTACGTCTCCACATGTTGGTGTAACATCTGTACATCCCCACATGCTGGTGTAAAATCTGTACG